GCGGTTACTGAAACCACACCTTCTTTCTTTGCGTGAACATTTGGGCGCATTATGCAAATATTTCCACATAGTGAGGTAGATATGTGGGGGCGTGTTAGAACGAGCTGTTTTAGGGGGGCGTGGCAGAGTCTTAACTTTGATAAAGAATATCTCTTTGGTTTTGAGACTTTAGTCTTTGCAACTTCAGGGATCTTATCTATGCACAATCAGCTTGTAACACTCCAAAGAGAAAGGAAAACTTGAAATCGCATCATATGACCCCTTTAATAGAGAGCAACATTTAAAAGGGAAAAGAAAGAATGGTTTGTCCTGAACCCTGTGTTTTGTGCTGTGAATTACTGGCTGCCAGGATGAAGATTATTTTAGTTCATTGAATGTATATTGTACTGCGGCTGATGCTACAGTTACATTGTTACACCTGCAGGTGCCGACAAATGACCGTCTTTATACATTTACATTTATTCATTTAGCAGACGCTTTTATCCACAGCAGCTTACAAATGAGGACAATATAAGCAATCAAAATCAACTAAAGAGCAATGATATGCAAGTGCTATAACACACTGCAAAAAATGCTTTTCTTAGATTTTTTTCAAAAAAAATCTTAAATCAGAAATTATTTTCTAGACAAGTAAAAATTATTCTTGTTTTCAGAAAAAAACAAGTCAAAATTAAGTAAGTTTTTGCTTGAAACAAGCAAAATAATATTGTTTTCTCTTTGAAATAAGAATTTTACTTAACCCATTTTATTGTTATTTTATTATTATTTTTATGATTATTTTGCTTGTTCTAAGCATTATGCAAATATTTCCACATAGTGAGGTAGATATGTGGGGGCGTGTTAGAACGAGCTGTTTTAGGGGGGCGTGGCAGAGTCTTAACTTTGATAAAGAATATCTCTTTGGTTTTGAGACTTTAGTCTTTGCAACTTCAGGGATCTTATCTATGCACAATCAGCTTGTAACACTCCAAAGAGAAAGGAAAACTTGAAATCGCATCATATGACCCCTTTAATAGAGAGCAACATTTAAAAGGGAAAAGAAAGAATGGTTTGTCCTGAACCCTGTGTTTTGTGCTGTGAATTACTGGCTGCCAGGATGAAGATTATTTTAGTTCATTGAATGTATATTGTACTGCGGCTGATGCTACAGTTACATTGTTACACCTGCAGGTGCCGACAAATGACCGTCTTTATACATTTACATTTATTCATTTAGCAGACGCTTTTATCCACAGCAGCTTACAAATGAGGACAATATAAGCAATCAAAATCAACTAAAGAGCAATGATATGCAAGTGCTATAACACACTGCAAAAAATGCTTTTCTTAGATTTTTTGTTCTTGCTTGTTCTAAGCATAAACTCACTTAATTTTGACTTAATTTTTCTGAAAACAAGACAATAATTTTTGCTTGTCTAGAAAATCCTTTCTGATTTAAGAATTTTTAGATATCGTGGCTGGAAACAAGAAAAAATCTAAGAAAGAAAAGCATTTTTTTGCAGCGCAAGTCTCAGTTAACCTAACGCAGTACACGTAGCAAGGTTTATATTTTATAATAAATTAAAAAACAGATAGAATAGAAAAAGAATAGAGCAAGCTAGTGTTAGAGGTCTTTATGAAGCAAAGAAGTCGTGTGTCTTATTGAGTTTTTTCATGGACAGAGTGGAAGATTGTGTGTGAATTGAGCATTAAACTGTAAACTCATTTGTAGTTCATGAGCTGCTGTATTTAATCAATATGACATTCAGAGTCAGAACATCAGTCATGTGATCAACTGCAGCCAATCACAGCTGTGATTTTATTCAGAACAACGGCATGACTGTGATCCTGCTTAATATTTTATTGTTAGGGTATTTTGCTGCTTCTGTATGATAGATAATGTGGGTATTGTGCTGAGGTCTGTGTGTCTGGGAGAAACCGCTGGATCAGCGTCTGTGCTGCGTGAAGATTTCTATCAGCCAGTCAGATGCTGCTGTTTGAGGGTTAGTTATTAGTTATTTGAGGGTTGGTTCTGTGTTTCTATGTTCCAGGAACATCTTATGTGGCAGTATTGTTGTGACATGTTCATCGCTCTGCTGTCACGTGTAGATTGCGTGTACTGGAACACGTCTGTGAGCGTGTACATGTTTGTATGTTTTCCAGCTGGAAGAAGCTCAGGACAAACGACTGGAGAGATTGCTGGAAAAACATAAAGATATTCGACAGCAAATCCTGGACGACAAAGCAAAGGTACGAGCCATTTTCAAGACATGCTTCATGAATCATGACATATTTGGGGAAGTTTAAACACTGCAGAAACACAAACACACACACACTCTCTCTCACACACACTCACTCACTCACTCACACACACACGCACACACACACACACACACACTCACTCACTCACTCACTCACTCACACACACACAATCTCACACACACACACACACACACAATCTCACACACTCTCTCTCTCTCACTCACTCACTCACTCACACACACACACACACACACACACACACACACACACACACACACACACACACACACACACACACACAATCTCTCTCTCTCTCACACACTCACACTCACACTCTCACACACTCACA